CCCAACAAAACAACAGCTGCATGCCTTCGGGTTGGCAGGACAACTCTTTGCCACTAAACCACAAGAACTCCCTCCAGAGCTCCCTGTTGTTGTTGCATGCCATCAAGTCAGAACCAACACATAGCTAACCCTCCAGAGGATTTTCAAAACCAGTAAATTGCACAGGAGGAGACTGCTCATCCTTCTTCCATGGAGCAGCTGGTGAATTCAATATACTTGCCTTTGGGATTACAGCACAGCTTCTTACCACATAGCAACAAGGGATCCCTAATAGGATAAAGACCTGGTGACATAGTATGTAATATGTTGTGTTTCTAACTGAAAGATTGACAATTTGAAACCACCAAACTTTGGCAGAAGAATAGCCTTCTCTTATTAAGAGTTATAACTTTTGAAACTTGATAGGGAATCACAATGGATGATTGGAGTAGACTACATAGCAGTGAGTTTATTTTGATATATGCATGTAGAAAGAGAGAAAATGTCAATGTGTCTGTGTTTGTATATAAATAGAGGGAGAGATATGTCTGAGAGAACAAGGTTATAAGCTGAGGAAGAACTCCCCTAGACAACTGTAAGCTATATGTCAACTCTCTAAAATATCTCTCTCAGGTATAAAATTGAAATAATTTCTAGGGGGAAAATCAATAAAGAAAACCTCCCAAATACTTGTTTGCAATATGCTTTCATGTATGAAAGTGTGTATGTATCTTTAGTAAGAAATTATCTACCACTTTATTTGTGGTTTCTTTTTTTAAAAAAAAAATATCTTTTCCTCACAGTAATGACTGTTCAGTACTAATTAAATGCCTTTTATGCTTTATGTCCTTCTACTACCCTTCTCTTCTTCTATTACCATTAAAATATTAATAAATACACAGTGTAATTCTGTAGTTGGTTATTATCAAAGCAAAATTACCTCTCTTACCAGTTGCCTTTGAATGGATTCAAACTTATGAAGACCCCCTGTGGGCCAAAGTAGAACTCTGCCTTGTATGATTACCAGGGCCTGATTTTTTGGGAGTACATTTTACCAGCTGTTTCTTCTAAAGAGCCTCCCTGTCTGTATATAAACCTTCAACTTTCAGGATAGTAGAATGTGTTAACCCCTTTCACTATCAAAGTCTCCGAATAAAATCAGTAGCCTCTCTGTAATTCTTCCAAACATAACTTAAATTTTTATCAAAATATTTAGGATGAACACCTTTTAATTGGTTATCACTGGGCCAGTTGGGAACATCAGGATGGATGGCGAAGAGATTGATATTGTTCACAGCTTTAGTTTGCTTGGCTCCATAGTCAACACTTTTGGCACTAGCAGCCAGGAAATTAAAAGATGTATTGAAATGGGAAAGTCTGCTGTTAAAGACCTCTCCAAAGTACTCAAGAGCAATGGTGTCACTCTGGAGACTAAAGTGTTCCTGATACAGGCTATGGTTTTTGCAATCATTTGTTATGCATCAGAGAGTTACAAATGACTAGGGAGGAAAGAAAGAGAATTGACGCCTTTGAGCTGTGGTCCTGGAGAAGAGTATTGAATATACCTTGGACTGCTAGGAGAACAAAGAAGTTCATCCTGGACAGGGTTAAACCAGGCTGCTCCTTGGAAGCAAGGATTTTGAGGCTTCATCTGACATACTTTGGACATGTTGCAAGGAGGGATCTGTTCTTAGAGAGAGACATCATGCTTGGGAGGGTGGAGGGACAGCGCAGGAGAGGAAGGCCCTCTATGAGGTGGATTGATTCAGTGACTGAGGTAATTGGGGTGGGTGTGTCAGAGACAGTGTGATTGGCACAGGACAGAGTAGGGTTTAGGGCTGTTGTACATAGGCTCACTATGAGTCGTAAGTGACTTGACAGCATATAACCACAACAGCAGCAACAATATTTTTTAATAATGTTGTCAGGTATGTATCTGGGGCAACTGTGTGTGGGGTTTTTCCCACTAGTTTATTTACAAAATTCTAATACAAATTCTTTCCATTTCCCTCACCCCCCCCCCAACAAATTGTACAATCCAATGATTAATCCCCTCTTCCCCTTACACATCCATATCCCTCTGCTTCCAGCTTCTCCCACCTCTCCTGGATCTGTATACTCATTCTACAATAACGGTCTTATACAATATGTATCCTTGTAGACTGAGTTAATTCACTCAGCATAATGCTTTCCAGTCCCTCCCAAGTTAGTTAATAATTTACAAAGTTATTGCTCCTACATGCTGCATAATATTCCATTGTGTGAATGTACCATCATTTCTCAATCCATTAGTTTGTGTTTGGACATTAGGGCTGTTTCCATGTTTTTGTGATTGTGAATAACGCTGCTATGAATATTGGTGTACAAATCTCAGTTTGTGCCTCAGTTCTCATATTCTCAGAGTATATTCCTAGTAGTCAAATAGCTGGGTCCTATGGAATTTCTATGTTCAGCTTTTTGAGGAAGCACCAAACTGCCTTCCAAAATGGTTGCACCATTTTACAATCCCACCAACAATGTATAAGAGTTCCTTTCTCGCCATATCCTCTCCAACATCTATTACTTGCTGCCCTGTTAAAGTTTGCCACTCTCACTGGAGTAAGATTTGCATCTCTCTTATTGCCAGTGATTTGGAGCATTTCTTCATGTGTCTGTTTACCATTTAAATATCCTCAGTGAAAATTCTTTCCATGTCTTTTGTGGGGCAGTTTTTTCTATATTGCCTATACCAATCCCTTAGGTTGAAAGAACCATTGGAATATAATAGGAGGATGTTTAGAGAGTTCAAAGGTATTCATAAAGGAGAATAATGGGAATTTTTAAAATGAGACTTATCTTTACTCCCAGGAAATTAGTGTCCTGATCATAAAGCATTTTGAATCAAACAGAAGGGGATTTACATTAGCTTTGCAAGGATAAAATCCCCTGCTCATCATGCCATGGCAAATGCCAAAGCCAATTATATATTTTCTAGGTCAGCAACATGGATGATTACATTTTGAAACAATATCATTGATAAATATGTGTTCATGCTGTTGCTGTTGTTAGGTATCACCAAGCTCACTCACATGTAATGACCCAATGGATGACAAATTGAAACCTTGCGCTATCAAGGTTTATCCTCATAATCTTTTTGCTGTGCTCAAACCTGTTTGTCATAGTTACTCAAGTCCATTGTTACAGTCACAAGCTCAGAAGATGAAACTGTTGTTGTGAGGTATCCTTGAGTCAAGTACTACTTACAGAAACCCTATGAACAACAAATATGAACCCTGTCCTATCCTGCGGCATCTGACCCATTTGATCCCATTGCTCTAGTTACTGTATTTGTCCATGTTGTTGTGGTCTTGCTCTCTTTCCTTGACTCCTCCCCCTTCCAAGCATGATATCCCTTCCCAAGGAATAGCTTCTCCTAGCAACATACCTAAAATGAGACTAAGTTTCACTATTTTACCAAATAAGGGGCACTTTGGCTACTTTCTCCAAGATATGTCTACCTGTATTCTAATAATAATAAATGCATTTAAGAAATCTATAGTATAATCAAATTAACATTTTTAACACAAAATGTTTAGGAACTGAAAGTGTTTGACCAGTAATAAGAATTTTCACAAAACGTAATCCACCTTTCAAGCCATTTCATTAATTTCATGTATTGAGACCCTGTTGTAAGAGCAATATTGGTCAACACTGACTTGGTAGATTCTAGGAAACCCTTCTGAAATAATCAAATAATTGATGAGGCAATATGTGTTTGAGTTGATATAAGATTCATGTAGAAAGAATCCAACTGGTGTGGATTTTGACTATGACTTTGCAAAGTATATATACAATGTACTCTAATGATGCATCTGTTTTCTCTCTTGCAGATCCATTTCAAGACCTGGGCTTTTCAATTGAACAGTGTTCCAGAACATTAAAATCAAACCTTAACATCAGACTGGGACTCATTCTGAGTAAGTAAAAATTATTAGCATAAAATTAAACAATGTATAATTCCTTTATGGTTCCAGTGACTTACAGTGGGTTCTTGTTAGGTGTCATGGAATCAAGTCCAAAGCATAGTGACCATCTGTACATTACATGGAAAACTTGCCCCATCCTGCACCGTCTTCACCATCTCTGTGCTTGAGCCCATTGCTGAGGTCACTGAACCAGTCCACAGGGCCTTCCAACTGGAGCAGTTCATCTTCCAGCACTATATCAGATAGTGCTCTGCTTTAATTAATGGAATTTTTAAAAGTCGATGGCTAGTCTTAGTTCTTAGTCTATTTTAGCCCAGAACCTCTGCTCAAACCTGTTCATGACAGGTGACCCTGCTGATACTTGAAATATCAGTGGCATAACTCCCAGCATCACAATAGCACACAGATTGTTGTTGTTTTTAAGTACCCTCAAGTTGAGTATGACGTATAGTGACCCTGTAAGAAACACAGTATCAATATACATGAGCTTCACTTGAAGGGCTGTACAAGAATTAGAATGACTGCCTCTGTGGAAAGAACCTCTGGAGCAGCTTATTATCAGTGGTCAAAACCAGGCCAGGTGTGATTGACTGTAGAACAGACTCACGTGCAAGTTAAATTGAAGCTGAAGAAAATGAAAGCAAGTCCACAGAGCCAAAATACAATATTGAATCTATCCTACCTGAATTTAAAAATCATCTCAATTATCATCTTACCCCATTTGTTGTTGTTAAGTGCTATCCAGTAGAGTACAACTTGTAACACCCCTATGAATAAATAATTTCAATCCTGTTCTATCCTGCACCATCTTCATACTTCCTGACACACAAGAGCCCATTGCAGCAGTCACCATGTCAATTCACCTGGTTGAGGGTCTACCTCTCCTTTGCCAACCCTCCACCCTTCCCAGAATCTTATCGCTTTTCAAGGAATAGCCCCTCCTGGCAACATGCCCAAAGTTTGTGAGGCAAAGCCTCATCATCTTTGCCTCCAAACGGCATTTTGTCTGCACCATTTTCAAGATCTATTTGTTTATTCTTTTGGCCATCCATGAGATATTCAGAGCTCTTCTCCAACACCTCAGCTCTAAGACATCCATTATTTTTCTGTCATCCTTATTCATTGTCCAGCTCTCAGATGCATCTCAAGTGATCAAAAAGACTATGGACTGAATCAGAAACACCTTAGTCCTCAAACTGACGTCATTACTTCTCAATTCAAAAATCATCTCAATTACCATTTCACGCCAGAAGCAGTGGTAAAGTTTAACAGGACAGCAAGCAATGAATATTGGAGAAGATGTGAAGAGATTAGAACTCTCATACATTTTTGGTGGGAGTGTAAAATGGTACAACCACTCTGGAATGTTGTCTGGCATGTCCTATAAAAAAAGCTGAACTTAGAGATTTCATATGACCCAGCTTTACCACTGCTAGGAATATACTCAAAGGAAAACAGAACTGAGATACAAACAGATTTGTATACCGATGTTCACAGCAGCTTTATTCACAATAGAAAGAACATGGAAACAGCCCAAATGTTTGTCAACAAATGACTGAGTTGAGAAACTGTGGTACATTCATACAACGGAATACTATTCAGTGTTCAGAAACATCAATTTGAAAAATGCTATATAACTTGAGAGAGGCCAGAAAGCATTATGCTACGTGAACTAACTTGGTGCATAAGAAATACTGTATAAGACCATTATTATAAAAACAGAAGGATAATCAGTGAAATCTGTATGGACATACAATGAAGAATGGGAGGAGACAGAAAGATTGAGAGTGGGGAGGGAGAGAAGTCATGGACCAAAGAGTTCAGTGGGTGAAGGGAGGGAGCAAGGAAAAAAAATATATACATGAATGAAACATAATAAAAAAATAACGCAAAATTATCTCAAGTAATAAAAGAAAAATGTACATGAAGGAAACATTTTTTTAAAAATCATCTCAAGAAGAGGTTTGAGGTATTGAACACTAAAGTTTAAGACAGATGCATTGTGGGATAACATTAGAGATACCATTCATGAAGCAAGCAAAAGGTTTTATTAAGAAGCAAACAAAAGGTTTTATTAAGACGGAAGGGAAAGAAAAGACCAAAACGATTATCACAAGAGACTCTGAAAATTGCACTGGTGCATTGAGAAAACAAAACAAAGGAAAGAGATAACAAAATAAAAGAGAGAAGTAGATTTTAAAGAGAACATCAAGAAGACAAGGAAAAGTATTAAAATAGTTTGTGATTTGTGCTATTTTGTGCAAAGAGTTGGAGAATATAAAATAAAGAGCTCAGACATTTCTCAATCTGAAAGAACTGAAAAATAAATTCAAGCCTTGAGTTGCAGCACTAAGGAACATTGGGGAAAATCTTTAATGATTCAGAAAGCATCAGAACAAGGTGAAGGGAATACATGGAGTCACTATACAAAAAAAATTGCTCAACACTGAAATAGTTCAGGAAGTAGCATATGATAAACAGCCAATAATAATGAAGGAACGATTCCAAGCTATATTGAATGTATTAGAGGAAAAAAATGAGGCCCCAGGAGTCGATGGAATAACAACTAATGCAGCTCTGGATGTGCTCACCAGTCTGTGCTAGAAAATTTGGTCAATTGATAGGAAAATATCTACATATGTTTCAATTCCAAAAAAATGTGACCCAAGAAAATGTAGAAATTATTAACAATATCATCAACATGACATGCAACTAAATATTGAAGATCATCCAAAAACTGTTACAATGGTACATTGACAAAGAATTTCCAAAAGTTCAGGCTGGCTTTAAAAAGGCCATCCCAATCTCCTATGCTGACCTTCCACCATTTCAAGCACGATGTCCTTCTCCAAGGACTAGTCTCTCCTGGCAACATGTCCAATGTATGTGGGACAGACTTTGAAAACCCCTCTAACAAGTAACTTGTTTTCACCCTCTCCAGAACAGATTTATTTGTTCTGTTGGCAGGCCATGGTATGTTCAATAGTTTTCTCCAGCACCACAAGTCAAAGTAATCAATTCTTCTTCTGGATCCTTAGTCATTATCCAATTCTCTGAGGCACACAGCAAATAAAAAATTGAGAAGATCATGGCCTGGATTAGGTGCACCTTAGTCTCTAGACTGATATAATTTCTCTTTAATATTCTGGAGAGGTTCCTAACAACAGACTTTCCCAAAGTAATGTCTTTTGATTTCCTGACTGCTGGGCCAAGAGTTTGATTGTGGACCTGAGAAAAGTAGAATTTTGAACAACCTCAATCTTTTCTCCATCTATCATGACACTGCTAATTGTCCCAGTACTGAGAATCTTTGTCTTCCATTGTGTGAATGTTCCACAATTTCTCAATCTATTCAATAGCGGTTGGACATTTGGTCTGTTTCCAGGTTCTTGTGATGGTAACATTGCTATGAACGTTAGTATACAAATCTCTGTTGGGTCTTAGTCATAATTTTCTTGGGGTATATACCACAGAGTGAAATAGCTGGGTCATATGGAATTTCTGTGTTCAGCTTTTTTGAGAAAATGTCAAATTGCCTTTCATTTTACAATCCCACTAACAGTGTTTGAGGGTTCCTATCTCACCTTATCCTCTCCAATGTTTATTACTTGCTTTCCTGTAAAACCTGTTTACCTCTAGGCCTCTGACCCACCTTGGGTTGATTTTTGTGTACGGTGAGAGGTGTGTATCCTGCTTCAGCTTTCTACAGGTAGTAATCCAATTTTGCCAACACTTTTTGTTAAAGAGGTTATTGTTTCCCCATTGATAGATTTTGTATCCTTGTCATTATCAGTTGGCCATGTATATATGGATTAATTTCTGGGTTCTCAACTCTGTTCTATTGGTTTACTTACCTGTCATTGTCTTCTTGTTCTCTTTGTTGTTAACTTCTAATTTGAATGAATTCTGGCTTGAAAAGATACTTTGTATTGTTTCAATGCTTTTAATTTTGTTGAGGTTTGCTTTGTACGCCAATATATGATCAATTTTTGAAAATGTACTATGTGCTCTCAAAAAGAAAGTAAATTTCAGTTTTGCTGGGTGCAATACCCTGAATACATCCACAAGGTCAAGTTGGCTAAGTGTGTTGCTTAGATCTTTTGAATCTTTACATTTCTTTCAAGTTGACCTATCTTTGGTAGGAGTGGTATGTTAAAGTCTCCTACCATCCTTGTGATACTATTTTTAATTCAAATTTGTAAGCCATTGTTTTATGTATTTTGCTACTCTGTCATTTGGTGCATAGATGTTGATCAAGGTTATGTCTTCTTGATCTATTGTGCCTTTAAACATTCCTTAACCTATATTATGATTTTATTCCTAAAGTCTATTTTATCAGCGATTACTATTGCCACTCCTGCTTTTTTGTGGATGCCATTTGCGTAAGATATTTTTACCAGTTTTTTATTTTGATTTTTTCCTTTTTTTCTTAGATGTGTCTTATAGGCAACATATGTATGTTTGGGCTCTGGGGGGTTTTGTCCATTCTGCTACTCTTTTTCTCTTAATTGATACATTTAAGCTTTTCACCTTAAGTGTGATGATTAACAGGCCAGGTTGTGTCACCACCATTTTGTCATGTTCCATACACTTTTTTTTGGGGTGTCTATGTGTAAAAGAATTCAGTATGGAGTATAAAGCAAGCCTGGATTATAGATGTTTTGATTGTGGATCTAAGTAAAAGGAATTTGTTGCCAACGTCAATCTTTTCTCTGTCTTGTTGTTTTCTATTGTCTAGTTGTGAGGAGTTTTGTTTTCTTGATGTTGTGCTTTAATCTGCAGATGGCAGGGGAAGCTGAGGGGAAAATAGGCAATCTCCTTCTGTGGAATTTACTGTCTCTAAAAACCTGCTGGAGGGTCAGCTATGAGACAGTTTTATTTGAAGATACTTAACATGTATTGTATTGGGGAAATCTACTTTCAAGGACTTTTTTTAAAGTGCTAGAAAGCAAGGATGTCCCTTTAAAGCTAAAGTGTACCTGATCTAAGCATTTCTTCATGTACAAACAAAAAGCCGGAGTGTAAAATAGTGCAACCACTATGGAAGGCAGTATGGTGCTTTCTCAAGAAGTTGGGAATAGAAATATCATTTGACCCAGCAATTCTACTACTAGGAATATACCCTAGAGAAACCAGAGCTGCCATCCAAATACATATATGAATATCCATGTTTATTGCTGCATTGTTCACAACAGCAAAGAGGTGGAAACTACTCAAGTGCCCATCAATAAATTAATGGATAGAAAAACTATGGTATTGTCATTCACACAATGGAATACTATGCAGCACTGAAAAAACAAGGAACTCATAAATGTTACACAACATGGGTGACCCTGGAGAACTTTATGTTGAGTGAAATATTCTCAGTCACAAAAGTACTATACTGCATAACAACACTGTTAAAAAACAGGACCCATAAGAAGGTTGGGAGAAACTAAGAAAAGAGGGGATAAATAATGAATACTCCATTGGAACAGATAAAGGAAAGAACTATTTAAAAGGAATATGTGATTAGGCATCATATGTATAACAACAGTTCAGAATAAAAAATACATTTCAAAAAGGACTGGGGGAAGGGAGGAAGGGAGGTAATTGTGCAACAAAGAATGAATATTTTAAAAAGTGAACTAAGGGAGGTAGAGGGGAAGGGAGGAAGGGGCTAAAATGTGTAACAATGAATGAATGAAAACCTGACTTTCCTGCAAACTTTTGTTAAAATCACAATTAAAATTAAAATAGTATTTTAAAGTAAGTTAGGCAAAGAATAGAGAAATCAAAGAAGAATTTATATCTTTGAATTGTGCTGTTCAAGAAGAGTTCTTCCAAAAGAACAAACAAGTCTGTCTTTGAAGAAGTACACCATTGTATTCTTTGTTGTTGTTGTTGAGCACTATCAAGTCTGAACTGACCCTCTGGTGGGTCTTCAGAGGCAGTTAATCCCACAGAAAAAGATTGTCCATCTTTCTCCCACAAAGCAGCTAGTGGATTCAAACTGAATGCCTTCAGGATTCTTCCCACTAGGCCACCAGAGCTCCATGAGTGCTCCTTAGAAACAAAAAATTTGATACTGGATTTCACATAGGTGGGGAATATTGTCAAGAGGTATCAGTACTTAGAAGGAAACATCAAGCTTGGAGAGGAAGACCCTCAGGGAGACGGACTGACACAGTAACTGCAACAATTGAGCACTGGAGATTGTGAGGATGATACAGGATCAGGTAAAATTTTAATGAGCTATATCTAGGGTCATTGTGAGTTGGGGACTCAATGGCACCTAACAACAATAAAATCAAGATAGTTAATAAACTATCTCCCTTCTAAAGGCATTTTTATCAAAACCAGAGGCCAAGGATTGAATAAACTTAGTATGTAGGACCATTCTAGGGAAACAGAGGGAACATTTCAAGAGGCCAAGAACTTATTTGCATCTCTAACCCCTTGCACAGTATTTCTCTCTACAAGCAGCTGGTGAATGAAAGAGAAAAAGGAAAGGAAACAGGATGAAGAGGCAGTAAGACTGAAGGGAGAAGCTGAGAAAGAACAGAGGCTAAATGAAGGCATGACAGTGTGCATCACAGTTCATCCTACCATTACTGCACTAATTTATTTCTGGCAACAGTAAAACGATGGGTAGGTTTTACCACGTGCCACCAGTATCCCACTTTTCTATGGGATGCAAAGTACTAGGTAACTGAGAAGTCTTGCAAGTCAGACCTTCAGACCTTGAATATAAAGAAGTGTGTCAGAGAAGGAGAGTGGACAGATTAACCACTTTGCCCCACAGAGATAGAGCGAGAAAGGGTCAAAAGAAAATTAAAGGTCTTTTGGCTGTTACTGTTATAAGCTTTGAGTGCCTATTACATATACAGAAAAGCATATCCTCTAGTAAAGTTGTTCCTTTCTTGCCCTTAGGAGAGGACATCAAAGAACTATTTCTGGATGTAGCTCTCCTCACCAAAGGATCATCTGTTTTGAATTTCTCATATCCTGTCTGTGAAAGTGATCAACCAAAGTTTTCTTTCTGTGGAAGAAGGAAAGGAGGTAAGCTATCCTACTAGCTGCTTGCTCACTGGGAAATGAGCAGGAGTCTGTCACTGGACTCATACACATGGACTATGCTCTGATTCTGCCACTTATCACTGGGACAAAGGGGATCTCACTGAATGAGATCTGTGAAGTAAAAGCAACAGTGAGACTTCTCCCTTGGGCCTTCTTACAGGCCTGTTGTAAGGACTAAGTGCACCAATGCGTCTGAAATGCTTAGTGAAAGAAAGTTGCTCCTGTTAACAGCAGTACACGCTAAGGTGTATGGAGATACTAGGGGAAAATATCCCACAATAGCTTCCAAAGGCCCTTTGAGACTCACAAGTGTGTTAGGTTCCCAGAGCTATGGTAAGGGAGTACCACAAACTGGTTTAAAATAACAGATATTTATCTAGTCTTTGACTCCAGGCATTTCTTGGCTAGTGGCAGCATCCCTCCAATCTGATTCCATGTCCAGATGGTTTCTCCATCTGTATGTTGATTTGCATCTCTTCTCTTAAAGGAGGCCATTCTCAGAAGTATTAAGACCCACCTAAATCCAACATGATATCATTCATATTAACTTAACCAATAACACCTTCAAAGACTCTGTTTCCAAGCAAAGCTACATTCACAGATATTGAGGATTATGACTTCAACAAATGTTTTTAGATGACATGGCTGAATTTCCAAAACCCCGTTTCTCCTAAGTAATCTCTTCAGGAGCAAGTCTTTCCCCACTCCCACCCCCAATGCACCAGTAGATTCTGGAAATTGGGAAAAAACCCACAAAGACTTGTTAAATGCCACAGCTTTATTGTGGCCTTTCCTATTTGTGTCATTAATTAAGAGAGGCATTAGGTAACTATACTTAAAGTATAGAAGCTGAATCCTTCTTATAACTTGAAGAATATTATCAATAATATATTCAAAGTTTATGTGAATCAAGAAACATACAACCAATCCTAGAAAAAATGTGCAAAGACTATGGATAGGTGATTTTCAGAAGAACAATTTCACTCCCTTAATTACTGTTGAGTCAAACACATTTTATAGCTAATTTTCCAATAGGTTTTTGGAGACTGTAAATTGCCTTGGAGGAGATTGCCACCTTCTCCCGAGGAGTAGATTGTGGATTTGAATCACCAGAGTGAACTCACCTTTGCATTAGTAGCATAACAGTCTACAAACCCCACCAATAGAAGTCCTTTACAAAGTCTTCGTATGGTGGGGACAGTGAATATATTGGTTATTTCTGTAAGGAAAGTGTCTTTCATCTGCCAGGTAAATACGCTTGTCTGTCAGATACTGTTCTAACACTAAGCATTCACATTAAAACAGACTAGGAAGAAGGATAAGCCATTCACTTCCAAAATATAACAGGCCTTTGAAAACTCTATGTACAGTAGAGCACACAGAGTAGACTAAAAGATAGGAAAACCGAAGCTGAGCCCTCAAATTTGGAAACAAAGAGGAGGAGATACAGTTGTGAAAAGAAATTAACAATTGGTACATGGAATGTGAGAAGCGGAATGTAGTAAAACTAGACATTGTAAAGAAAGAAATGGAACACATAAATATTGACATATTGGGTATTAGCGAAATGAGATGGATTAGCATGGGACATTTTGAAACCCATGATCATGAGATCTACTATGCTGGAGATGAAAAGGTGAGAAATAAAGAAGGTCACTTTCATAGTTAATAAGGCCATTTCTAGCTCATCTTTAAATATAGTATTATGAGTGACAGGATAATATCCATACATATACAAGGATGACCTGTTAATACCACTATCAATAAAATTTATGCTCCTACAACCAGAGTCAAAGAAGTGGGAATAGATGATTTCTATAAACTATTGCAGTCAGAAATCTATTGAACATGTAACCACAACACATCATGAATAATAGGTGACTGGAATATAAAAGTTGGGAACCAGGAAGAAGGGTCAGTAGTCAGAAAATATGGACTTAGTAACACAAATTAGGTTGGGGATAGAATGATAGAATTCTGTACAATCAATTATTTATTCATAACAAATACCTTTTATAAGAAACATAAACACAGGCTATACACATGGATTTCACCTGATGAGATGCACAGGAATCAGATCGATTACAACTGCGGAAGAAATCACTGGAAAAGTTCAACATCAACAGTGAAAACTAGGCCAAGTGCTGATTGTAGAACAGACCATCAACTGCTCATATGCAAGTTCAAATTAAAGCTAAGAAAGGTTAAATCATATCTATAGGAATCAAAATTTGGTCTGGAGCATATCCCCCATGAATTTAAAAACCAACTCAGGAATAGGTTTGAGACCTTGAACACTAATGAATGAAGACCACTTACTTTGAGCACATGGCCAGGAGAGACTGGTCCTTGGAGGACATCATTCTTGGAAAGGTGGAGGGACAGAGCAGGAGAGGAAGACCCTGGATGAGATGGATTTATACAGTATCTGGGGCAATGGGAGTTGGTGTGTTGAGACTAGCGAAACTGGCTCAGGACAGGGCAGTGTTTAGAGCTGCTGTACATAAGGGTCACTATAGATCGCAGGCAACTCAGTGGCACATAACAACACATACTATATTGGTTGTTTTATTGAAGCCTCTTGTTTAGAGTCAATAAGACCTCAGGGAGGGCCTTTGTATTTAAAAGCCAGTTATGGAAGAACATCTAAGTGGTACAGCACTTTGTCAATATGCTGTACTGAGGCAACCTGGGGTTGTTGTGATACTGAACATTGTGCCATTGGCATGTCAATTGCCATAATGGTTATCCATCATGAACAGTGTTTGGTGGAGTTTTGGAAGCAGGAGTGGCATCCACTTTCTAAAGAACATGCCTCTAGAAACTCTATAAACTTTGAGAAATGACAATAGTTATAGAAAGGCTTCAGGTCTTTTGTGTTCATAAGGTCTCTAAGAGTTGTGCTCAACTCAACAGAGATCAACAACACAAAAACAACAACCATTTAACTAGTTTACATTTTAAAGTAAGTTTTAGGCTTTTCTGACATCCATTATGATCTTTTCTTTTATTAAGATGACTTTTTGCTTGCTTCATTTATTAGTTCCTTCTTTTATGCCATCCCACAAATGGTCTGGTCTTGAGTCATGAGTGGTCAAGCAGACAAGGGAAAAATCAAAACCACTTCTATCAAGTTGATTTTGACTCTTAGCAATCATACAAGAGCAAGGAGAGCTGCCTCACAGGTTTCATGTCTCTAAGGCTGTAAAAGAAGCCAACAACCACATCTTTCACATATGAAGTAGTTGGTGGGTTTGAACCACTGGCCCTTTGGCTATTTGCCAAGAACTTAACCATTATGCCACTAGAGTCCCTTCAATAAATTGAAGAGATGTGAATTATCTTCTGAATCTAAGAAAACCTCACTATTGTTTCCTGTGTGTATGGTTTTATTTTCATTAATAAAACAGAAGAGATATTTCCCACTAAACTCTATGTTGGTCGTCTCAGTCTTTCAGCCCTCAGGACTGTAGTCAGAATCCATGCAGCCTCACCACCATTAGTCTGCTCTCCTATGTGGCTGCCAGGAAATTTCATACCACTTAAAACAATCAGGAAAATGATGTACAAACCCTGTGTGAACAAATCATTATGTAAGCTTTATAAACCAAAGGAATGAAAATCTTAACTTCAGTGGCTTGTTGAGTTTTTAATTTTTTTTTTTTACCTACCCACAAACCCACTGCAAAAATGATGCTATATTCCAAAGACACAATTAATAGAAAGACCAGAAGGAAAAAGTGACGCTGAGTTGAGCTGAAGTCCATCCAAGGCAAGCACAAGCCACTGTGTGCACAGTAGGTGGAATCCCAGTCCCCCAGGCCTGCAGGCTCCTTGCAGCAGAGTGCTGAGAAACCCCAATTTTCACTTAGGACTGTACATAGTGGTGTCGGTTACCGGGGGATTGCTGGAATATAATTTCTACAGTATTAGTATGCTTTCCTCTGCAAACTATGCCCTGTTTGATGTTCTCCAAGACACACATGCATGCACACACAACTACAAAACAAGCAAACAAAAAAAACTCACACCACAAGATGGGTCAGGCTAAGTGAGATTGTGTGTATGAAAGATTTCTTCTTTCTCTGCATCTTCCAGTTCAATCTAAAACAAGAATACCTTGGATTACAAGATTATGTTGGGCATAATTGTCTATAGTGTGTCTGGAAATATATCCAATAATAGGGAATTTATTAAACACATGTTTAACATAACAAAAGTACAGCTTAAATGTGATTTTCTATGACACTCTATGGTGGTGGTGGTGTTATGTACAATCAAGTTGCCTGAAACCCATAGCAACCCTATGGACAGCAGCTCTGAAGCTTCTCCTGTCCTCAAGACAGTGTCACTAATTCCAACACACCATCCCCCATTGCTCCAGTCACTGTACCAATCCATCTCATCCGGGGTCTTCCTCTCCTGCACTGTCCCTCTACCTTTCTGAGCATGATGTTCTTCTCCAAGGACAGATCTCTCCTGGCCATGTGCCCAAAATATGTGACACGGAGCTTCAAAATCCTGTCTCCAAGGAGAAACTTGGTTTCATGATAATCAGATCCTGTTTTTGTTAAAATGTACCTCAATTTATACACCAAAAGAATATATTATCTAGAGGTCCATAGTGGTCATCTCTAAACGTGGGACTGTAAAACATTATTTTAATCTCTTTTTTAAATTTATTTTGCTCTTATGATAAATTTACACCATTATTTTGTTAAATATTACTGTAGGAAAGGATGGAATCTTTTCCTCTGTGGAGCAAATCTATCAGGCTTTTGGGGATTTTTTTTTTCTTTTTTTAAAGAGAACGATTACATAGGATGTCAAATGAACATCTAACACCATTCAGTACTTTTTCCCATCAAGGGTGGTATAGTTCACTGAAAAGGAGCTAAAATAAGCCTATATTTTATTTCCTACTTTAGTGTTGGTTTTGGTGCTTGTGTCATTGAATCAGGATTGACTTGTAGCTAACCTTC